TTAATTATTACTAAATAAGTCACTAATTAAGTTTAAGTACTACTATATATAATATATATATATATATATATATATATATATATATATATAATGACTATTGTGTATATATTTCAGACAAAAATTGAAAATGTTCTAGGGTACTTATTACAACTTTTCGTTTTTTTTATATATAAAAATATATATATAGGAGTACTTTATATAGAAAACAAATTGACCATCTGTTTACAAGCAAATGAAATACCAAATCTGTACTTCACTGGAGTCAATTTACAGTCTTAAAGGTCTCACAAGTGTAAAAAGAGAAGTTAATGGTGTATAAATACGGCTTTATAAAATGCCATGTGCTTGCAACTCTTGTGGTCTTTGTTGAGGGCAGTAAAAGTAGAAAGCTTTTAAAAGTATTGTAGGAACATAATTATCATTGTGATAGATAATTATATGGACAGCTATTTATTTTTAGATTCCTATTATTTACTTCTTTATTCTTTTATTGTTGTTAAGTGCAAAGCTACACAGTGGGCTAAATGTGCTGTGCCCAATGTGGAGATCAAAACCTGAACATTAGTGTTACAACTCAACTACTCAAGCTTACCATTGAGGCACTGGGAGATGACATTTTAATGAACAGGTTTGTTAGGAGTAATGCCAAACATTTTATAATGAATACTACGACTAAATACAATCTTTATATCTATCTTAGCATGCAGAAAACTGTGAAAACTTTGTATTTGTGATTATTTCATAGAAAAAAAATCTGAAGTTTACTACCTAGAATTTTCACTTTGTGATAGTTAAAGACTGACATTAAACAACATGCATGCAAAACAAATACTCAAATGTATACTGTGTTACACAAGAGATTTGGAAACTGTGGTACAATGGAAACAATCATTCACAAAGAATGGAAGGCTATGACATGAGTCACACAGACTAACCTGCTAGTGAACTCTCATTTCCTGGAACCAATTAACTAAAACAACCACTAAGAACAGCTTCTATAAATGTGACAATGAGGAAAATAAAAAGTAGATGAATAACAAAATAACAATTTACTACACAAACAGTATGACACCTCAATCAGATGTTGCATAGCTATTCAATAGAAACTGTTCAAAGCAGAGCATTTTATGTTTAACTCTACAGTCTTTCTTATTTGAATGAAGCAAATCACAATCTTCCAGACTTTACTGTAACAAGTTAAGTGCATTCTATATGTAAAACTGAGATGTTTTCATAGATCTCTCTCTTTTCGAAGCATGAGATACAATGTCAGTTTCAACATGTTTGTAAGAATTAGTCAGAAACATCACTCAAGTCAGAACATAAGAGACAATGTCAATTTCATTACAGTATTAGCAGAACCTCATTTCCATCAGAACACGACTTACCATGGTAAGTTATAACAAATGTGCACGACATTTGCAAAAGTAAAATAAATAAACTAAATGTAACAATACTCTAACATAATAATGTAACAATAATGTAACTCAATACTGTAACATAACAAATGTTATTTTAGAAATATCACACAATGGAACTTCATAGTACTACAAAATGTTTAATTTAAAGAAATGAAGTGATAGTTAATATGTTTTTTAATTAACTATAGATTTTCTTTTTCAGTGTTAATATGGTGGTCTCATATTTGAGGCAACATAATTTCATCACAACTGCACCCATAACTACTTCTACAAATAGACATGTATTGATTCATGAAATTTTCAAATAGTACTAATGCTACTTACTGATAAGCAGCTAGTATATACAATATACCATATTTTGTGTGTTGTGTTTATAAACAATCTCTCAAAAACTAATAAAGTAAGATGAACAAGTGTAGCAGATAATAACTACATTACATGATGTACAGTAAGCTACTGTGATAAGTCTGACTTTAAATGAAAAATTGAATATTTGGAATAGAGGAGTAAACTTTTTCTTGAGAACAATTTCTTTCATCTTTCAGAATATAATAATACAAGAGGCTAACTGTAACATGTTAAAGATGAGCTCTCACTTATACACTCCTATTAAATGCTGAAATAACAACATTTATTAATAGAACAGTAATGTTACAGAAACAACACTAGTTAAACACACAAGTTCACCAGCATGTTCTGAACACATTACTCAATGCACTTCAGTGTCACACGGTCCTATGGACAAATTAAAAAAATTATAAGATATTTAAGGAACAATAAAAAGGGCACAACATTAACATACGTATTCGATGACGAGGAACCCACTTTGAGACTAATAATGGCTGGAGACGGCTTAAATGGGTAATGAAGAAAAACTTTAATATAAGTTTAACATGACAGCAAATGTACAACGTTTCGACAAGGTTTTGTCATCATCATACGTATGATTTATTATGTCCCTTTTAAAGAAAAAAAAACTGTTGAAAATTTCTAAATAAGTCACTTTCTTATAATTATATGGACGCTGATATTTCAGTTAAACACGAATTTATCAGTATAACTGTAATACATCTCTTACATGATATTACCAACCATTGGTAAATTGAAAATTGTTTAATGAAGAAAAACTTTCAAAAAGTTCATTACTGTCAAATGAATAACTTAAATCGTGTTGAGAAATTGTAAACTGTATTTATGGACTACTCAATTATTAAATTTTAGTAAAAAAGTGATTATGTACAGAATAATAGAAGAAAATTATCTTAAAGTTTTTATCTGGAAAGTTCTTAGATTAGAATCAAAGCTATAAAGCAGAATACATGATAGACTGAAGATGAAAATTATGAGGGTTTTAAAATTGTTTATAAGTAAATATAAGTAATTATGAAAAATAGGCATATAATTAATATAGTCTATGCAACTACAGACAAAGGTTTTAAATGAATCAGTCAGCTTTGCATATTTAGGAAAGTGCTCAATGAAAGTTGGTAACTTATTATACTCTTTCAACCTAGTCAAATGTAGGATGAAACTACTTAATAACTTACCACACTCTGCAAATCCATTATACAGATTAACAACTAGCTGATAACATAATGTAAGCACTCAATAAAATGTATAATGAAATTTGTCCAATACTTTTATTTTATATTTAGTATATGTAGACTGAAAGTTGATAGCTAACACAGATAATCCTCCAATTATAAGGACTCACCTTAACAACATTATGTTTATACTGTGTACTAAGAAGAGTATGCTATTCTTCAGTTCTTTTCTGGCACTCTTTTTCTATTCTTTTTATCCAGCTTCTTTCAAGCACTTTGTGCCATTCTTGATTTGCTTTCTGTCTAAGTCTTTTCTCTCTGTATTTCTCTAACAATCTAGATACGAACTTCTACAAGAAAAACATCACTTCTTCTTCAAACAGAAATACACATGCACATCTCTTAATTAGGAAGATACAACTGTAAAATTCCACATTTCTTAGAGATGTAAAGAATAACTTTTCTTTTAAGAATAGTTTTAAATAACAAATATAAAAAAATCTTTGTGAAGTATAATATTTTAGAAATACTCCTCAGTGAAAAATATTATCAATATATAGTAAAAGGAAATTAACTGTCAGATATAAAAGACTATTTAGTATAAGTATTATTAATTATTTTGTGAGTGAATATTTCATGATTGTTTAGTTTTTTCATAACAAGAGAGTTAAAAGCAATTATTTTAAAGGCAATAGTTATGACAAGTTTGGTTACATAACTCGGTATGAATCGTACGTTGTGTTCATAATTCATTGATCTTGAGGCTATTGAACGTTGCGTGCAATCCATTGATGTCGAGGATACAGAGATTTCTAGAAGGCCTAAGTGATAAACGTATAACCAGATGCAAGCAGAAGAGAGTAAAGTCACGGGAAAGAGAAGTTCGGTCAGAGAAAAGTTAAACACAAAGTTAATCGTCATGGGAGTGAAAGGCCTAATGGTTGATATATTAAGAGTGAGATTAACAATTTTGTAAAGGATAAGAAGAATAAGTTGTCTTGTCAAAGTATGTTCTAAAGTAATTGAACCAGCCTGAGTGGACTTTGACAAAAGGCAGATGATTCTTGGAAATACAAAAAAGGAGCAGACAAGGATATAACCTCAGTAACTCAACAATAACATAAGTGAACTATACACAGATAGTCTGGTAATAATAATGGACAAAAATAGTTCGGCTTGTCAACTGAATTCTGAAGCAATTCAATAAACCTAAGAGGACTTTTGACAAGAAAAAAAAAAGAGAACTATATCATGTTTAAGATATAACTATGTCCTCCATAGTCTAAGGAATTTTTGTATGTACGTTTAACTTGTTCTAAATATATATATATTATTTTGAAAACAAGTCGATTGCATGCTGTTTATTTTCTTTAAGTTTAACTTGTTCTAAATATATATATATTATTTTGAAAACAAGTCGATTGCATGCTGTTTATTTTCTTAAATTTTTCGCCAACAAGTCACAGACACCTACTGTAGAAGAATCTTTAGCCCAAGACATTCATATATTTACTTACATTAATATATAAAATAAAAAAGTAATGGATTCTCTATGTGAATAATAAATGCCAAAAACAATAGCTCAGTCCCAGACAAAAACCACTCCCGACCCCAAAACCTGGACACCATCCACAGAAAGTGATGCTTTGCATTTGGTTGGACATCAAAGGAGTGATTCATTTCGAACTCCTCAATCCACAGAGAACTGTCAATTCAGAGATCTATAGTCAGCAACTAGAATGTTTAATTCAAAGCCATTCATCAGAAATGCCCTTCACCCCATCAATCGGAAAGGTGTTCTTCTCCACGACAATGCACATCCACACGTGGCACATATGACGCAACACAAGATTATGGAGTTCGGTTGGGAAGTTCTCCCCCACCCACCATATTCTCCAGATATGGCACCGTCAGATTACCATCTTTTTCATTCGCTGCAACATCATCTTAATGGGATGTTTGTTGGTTGGTTGTTTTTAATTTCGCGCAAAGCTACATGAGGGCTATCTGCACTAACCATCCCTAATTTAGTAGTGTAAGACTCGAGGGAAGGCAGCTAGTCATCACCACCCACCGTCAACTCTTGGGCTACTCCTTTACCAACAAATAGTGGGACTGACCATCACATTATAACACCCTCATGGCTGAAAGGGCGAGTATGTTTGGTATGATGGAGATTCACCCTATCCACCTGGCCCACTTAATGTGAAACGTACGCAAACGTGGAAGGTGTTAAATAGGACATCGACATGTTTTTGCTTCAAAGCCAAGTGATTTCTTTAATCAGGGCACTAACAACCTGATTGTAAGATGTGTAAGATGAAAAAGCATCATCGATAAGAATGGAGACTATTTCATTTAACAAATGTTTAAATACAAGCATCTTCAGAGCATCAATATCAATTCCAACATGTTGGCCCCTGCCATCACATATTTCAAGGCTCAAGCATTCTGAACGAATTTTGCTGAACCATCATTGACACTTACGAATGTTCAAAACATTTTTATAAACTTCTTTGATATTCTTTGTGGATACAGAGACTTTGTTTCCCTTCTTGTATTTAAACAACATTACATGCTGAATGTGTGTTTTGTCATGTGTCATCACTATAAGGGATTAGAGTATACTAAACTTTACATATT